AATGATTAAAGGCACTTCTCTGCTCCCATGGCAAATAAAACAAAATAAGTCAGATCTTAGATTCTGTTTTTTCTTTCATGGGAAACACGTTTTTTTGGGGGGTGGGGGTTGGGGGGTGGTGGGGGGGTATCAGCCAGGTGTCTGACAAATGCAGAAACCCATCACCATGCTTAAGAGTATCCAAACCATGCTAAGATTTCCATGCATCCCACCTGTACATGGAAATCCCAGAGATGAATTGTTGAAATGGAATGCGTACTCTCTCCCTGGAGAGACACACCCTGCTTACCTAATTCTATAAAGTTTTAGGCGCAGATTGGCAAGAGCCATGGCTTGGCAACCCCAGAGTATGCGTTGGGGTACTGCTGGAGTCTAACCAGCTAAAACCACATACGTCAGCAATAGATAATACTTGTCTAAGTACTAGTTCTGTGATTTTGAATATGTGGTTGGTGAACAGTATAGAGATAACATTAAACATTTTCCAATTCATATTAAAAGACAATCAAATAACAGCAAACTTGTATTACTTCTTTTGAAGATCATTTCACTTCAAAGCATTCATTTAATGAATCCTTGATGCATGCAATTTAATTAGTGCTTTACCTACAAATACAGTTACGACACTCGACAGCAATTGTCTATGAAGCACTTTGAGATAATTCAATGTTGGAGGTTCTGTAAATGCAAGATTACTATTACTATTGTTATTTTAACAATGTGAAATACATATTTAGGTAGGGTCAATATAAACTAAAATGGAGATTTGTGCAACTCCCACAGGCATCCCACCTCAGGCCTAGATTTTCCCATTCCGGTATTTATTGTAAACATACTCATCCAGCAGATTTTTCCATTGGAATACAACCCTTTTGGCTCATATCCAGTCAAGTGCATTTGATTCGTGGGGCCTGTTTATAATTTCAGCATCCAAGAGATTCAATTCAACTCAAATCTGGATCACAAGCCTGAAAGACAGCCCCAGGTGCCCCATGTCAGTTCATGTACCGGGAGATATTAACGTAGCTGCCTGATGACTCCGCTGATTTACAGGTTCCATCAGGAATTTATATGAACCAGATGTGAATATCCCGCTTATCAGCCTCAAGCAAATCTGGCCATGTAGAGGTAAGCGCTTGGCTGTGGGTCAGAATCCAAGTATTCCTGGGGCTGTGTTTCAAAACTGCAGTGGCTGCAGATCTTTGTTGGCACAACAGTAGCAGCTAATTCTGTACTCAACCTGGATTTCCCTCAGTCACATTTGGTTGTTCAAAACATGATTTTTCAATCTAAAATACAAGTCATGGCTATCCTCAACTATGATATTGGGTAAAGCCTAACTTTGAAAGGGTAGTAAGATGCCAATATAGTGTGATATTAATCACCCTTTTTTATGCTGCTAGAAGCAAAGCAACACAGTATTCCCTCCTGCAGCACAGCAATGTGAAGTGAAACAGCTGCCTTGTACTCCACACTCTGTACAATGATTTGACTAGGACAATGCTAAAAATCATCCATCCTGGGCATAGTTAGGCATATGCACAACTCTGAAATTTTATTAGTTTCTCTAAATGATATGAAAAAGCCAATGTATATTTTACCTTCTTTGGAATAATTTGCCACAACTTTTCATTGTATTTTGCTGCAAAATGTACAGTATAAAGATTACAGTTGGTGTTTTCTGTTTTATGAGGTCAGGGGAGGGGAATCATTGCCAGCAGACCAGATATCAATTCTGTCTTTTTCAGCACCAAGCGAAAGGCAGGTTCAGCCTTGGGCACTGTGGATTCAAGCTTGAGTAGACTTTTAAAACTGCCTGAAGTCCAGGTTTACTGCCTCTGAAATCTGAGGTCACAGGCCACTGTAGACTCATGCTGTATCTCCTCCTGCTGCTTTCGGAACTCTGGAGTTTTTTGTGGCTGGTCACCAATTCATAACGACATGTGCGCCAATGAATATCAATTGTTCTAATTTAATCTGGAGAGAGTCCAACTAATGGCTGACCTGCAGTAGCCATCCCCTCACTCCAATCATGTGTTCAGAGTGATCAAATTGTAATTCTTCAAGAGGGTATGTAGCTGCTTTTCCAGACAGCACTCATGTGGAGGACGTCCTAAGAACCTACTGTTATTCAGAAAGTGAATTACTTCCCAATGGAGTCTTGTAATGTGGTTAGAGCACTCGCTTCACAAGCAAGGAGACCTGGGTTCAATGCCCGGCAGAGCAAAATGTTGGCCAAGTTTCCTTACTCCACACACCTCTATTCAACTACCAGTAAGTAGGAACCTGGTTGTTAGTCGATTGGCAGATTGCTTTTCCGGGGGTAATAATCCCTCAAAAAAAAGTAATAATAATAATTTGGTCACTCAATCCACGACTCTTTTTGGAAAACTGCTGTACACAATTTGCTGCTGTGTTTCGCCTACAAAATATACAGTCAATTCACTTTACAGTATATTTTGTGAAGTGCTTTGAGATGTCTCAAAGACATGATAAGGTGCTATATGAAATGCAAGGATTATTATTATACATTGTTGTGCAGCTGGGGAGATTATTGGAATCCCCGAGGAAAGAGGTGTTCAGCTTGCAAAAGCAGGACTTACATTGAAGGTAATGTATTTCTGCACTGATGAATACTCTATGCACAGTCTACATCATACATTGCAGATCTTCATCAGGATTAGTTGCAGAAGATGTAAATTCATTCAAATCTATGGGGGTTCGACTACAATGTGAACTCATGCAAATTTGGATTTAGCTTCCGCCATATGTTGTTGCTATATTTCCTTAATGCCTTCTTTCTCCTGGAAAGGGTTGCTCAAAATGTAGTTATTTTATCTGTGTCAGAGTTTAAGGTATATCTGAAGTAACCCTAAATACAGTCTTGGGAATGAAGTATGAGGCATTAATATAATAATAATAATAATCCTTGCATTTGATACAGGGCCTTATCAAGTCTTCCAGTTGTCTCAAAAGCACTTTGCAGAATATACTGTAAAGTGAATTGATTGTATATTTTGTGAGCGAAATGCAGCAGCTAATTGGGCACAACAGTGTCCCACAAACAGTTGTGGATTAAGTGACCAAATTATTATTACTTTTTTAAAAAAAATTTGAAGGGATTATTACCCCAGGTCCTCTCGCTTGCAAGGTGAGTGCTCTAATCAACTCCACAGGTCATGTTGGTGAAACAAATATTCAGTAAATTGCATTTGTATACAAAATATTGCCCTATATTTGGAGGCTATAATGCATATAAAAACGTGAGTCTTGCTCTATTATTTTACAGTACCTTGTTCTGAGCTGGCAGGATACAGTGAAACATTCCAAGTTAATTTACATTTACATGATAAAAAGTTCATAATACACACCCACCATTTGATGAGTAATTTACCAACATATTTTACAACTCACCAAATATACTGTTCTATTTAAACTATAGTTTTCAGATGTAGCAAAATATTTTGCCAAATCTATTTTCAATATTATTACAGCACCAGCACAAATGTATGTATTTATCCAATACCTGGATTGCCCTGAATGAGATCTCCAGAAAGGGCAAATGAAAAATAAACTGATACCATAGATTGCTTAAGACAATCTGATATAGCCATTCTTCTTAATACAGCATTCAGAACTAATTTCTGTACATGTTACAGTGGCAGTAACCTCCATGACTTGCTTTCATTGAACTCCATGCTGCCCGGTATCAGTTGACCACTATTCTGACTGGTGCCCTTCTGACACGATATGAAGAATATTAGACACCAGAGTGAATACCAAATGGTAATCTCATTGAGGGGTTCAGATGGTGTCATCAATAATGTATTACAGTGACCAAATTACAAGAGACACTCCTGTTGTCCCATCTTATTTATCCGTAATGTAATCTATACTGTGGAACTATCGGGAGCAATTTGTTGTTCACTTTATTGTGGGTTTAACCAGCCCGAGCATCCTGGTGACATTGGCCAAGATACTCCATGTCTGCAGGAACACTTGTGATGTGACCACTAAAGGTTTGTATCGCTTTACACCTGTAGTGGATTCCTGGAAACTATCAGAATGCGTCGGATACAACGTTCAAGATCGATGTTGGTGTTAAAACAACAGTCCGCGCTATTATTGTTCCCAGAGAAATGAAACGAAGTGCAGACTTGTCCCTTATATTAAATAACACAAAATGCGCCATTATGATCAATGAAAGTCTGTTCAGATTAGGAAATTTGCCTGAAGTGTTTACATACACATTTCTAAAAGTTATTTCAAATCATAAATTTGGATTGCGGCGGAGCTGAATGGGGAAGCGGGGGGTGTGCGGGAGTTGGGGGGATGTGCGGGGGGGTGGGGGGTGTGCGGGGGGGGTGGGGGGGGGGTGTGCGGGGGGTGTGCGGAGGGTGGGGGGGGGATGTGCGGGGGGGTGTGCGGTGTGCGGGGGGGTGTGCGGGGTGGGGTGCGGGGGGGTGGGGGGGAGACTGCGAGTAAAGTCAACAGTAAGTGATATCTAATACACACTGTTGCTCTGCGTTCAAATGCGGTCACAGACTTCAGTGGCTGTTCTCCACAGCGCAAACCCGGGACCCGCCGTTCCCGGGGCCGCCGCCCACCACCTCAGCCCACAATGTCACTCAGAGCCCCGTCTCACTGCAGGACACGCACTGTGTTATTACACAACACCCCCACCTGCCTTCACTAACTCACTAACACACTGCCGCTGAGACCAGGAAACTAAACATATACAACTCAGCCCACACTGCCACTGTCAGAGAGAGCCCATCAAAGTCAGTCAGTCAGTCCCTCAGTCAGTCAGTCAGTCCCTCAGTCAGTCCCTCAGTCAGTCAGTCCCTCAGTCAGTCAGTCCCTCAGTCAGTCAGTCAGTCAGTCCCTCAGTCAGTCAGTCAGTCCCTCAGTCAGTCAGTCCCTCAGTCAGTCAGTCAGTCACACTACACACAACAGCGCAAATGCTCATGAAGACATTTGTTCTGCGGCAGTAACGTTACCGAAGGCTGGAACCTCACTGACGCGCCGCTGCCGGAGTCGGTGCAGCCGGAGTGCAGCGGAGCGGAGCCGTGTGACCAGAACCAGTCACATCCTGAAGCCGCGTCCCTCCCCCTCTCCACCCTCTCTCCCCTCCCCCCCCTCTCCTCTCCCCCCCTCTCCTCTCCTCTCTCCCCCTTTCCTCTCCCCTCCCCTCCCCCCCTCCCCTCCCCCCCCTCTCCTCTCCCCCCTCTCCTCTCCTCTCCCCCCTTTCCTCTCCCCTCCCCTCCCCCCCCTCTCCTCTCCCCCCCCCTCTCCTCTCCTCTCCCCCCCTCTCCTCTCCCCTCCCCCCTTCTCCTCTCCCCCTCTCCTCTCCTCTCCCCCCTTTCCTCTCCCCTCCCCTCCCCCCCTCTCCTCTCCCCCTTTCCTCTCCCCTCCCCTCCCCCCTCCTCTCCCCCCCCCTCTCCTCTCCTCTCCCCCCCTCTCCTCTCCTCTCCCCCCTCTCCTCTCCCCTCCCCCCTCTCCTCTCCCCCCCTCTCCTCTCCCCCCCTCTCCTCTCCCCCCTCTCCCCTCCTCCCTCTCCTCTCCCCCCTCTCCCTCCTCCCCTCCTCCCTCTCCTCTCCCCCCCTCCCCCCCTCTCCTCTCCCCTCCCCCCTCTCCTCTCCCCCCTCTCCTCTCCTCTCCCCCCTCTCCCTCTCCCACTCTCCTCTCCCCTCCCCCCCTCTCCCCTCCCCCCTCTCCTCTCCCCCCCTCTCCTCTCCCCCCTCTCCTCTCCCTCCCCCCTCTCTCCTCTCCCCCCTCCTCTCCTCTCCCTCCCTCTCCCTCCCCCCTCTCCCTCCCCCTCTCTCCCCTCCCCCTCTCCTCTCCCCCCCCTCTCCTCTCCTCTCCCCCCTCTCCTCTCCCCTCCCCCCTCTCCTCTCCCCCTCTCCTCTCTCCCCCCCTCCTCCTCCCTCTCTCCCCCCCTCTCCCCTCCTCCCCTCTCCTCTCCCCCCCTCTCCTCTCCCCTCCCCCCTCTCCCCTCCCCCCTCTCCTCTCCCCCTTCTCCTCTCCTCTCCCCCCCTCTCCTCTCCCCCCCTCTCCTCTCCCCTCCCCCCTCTCCCCTCCCCCCCTCTCCCCTCCCCCCTCTCCTCTCCCCCTTCTCCTCTCCTCTCCCCCCCTCTCCTCTCCCCCCCTCTCCTCTCCCCTCCCCCCTCTCCCCTCCCCCTCTCCTCTCCCCCCTCTCCTCTCCCCTCCCCCCCTCTCTCCTCTCCCCCTCCTCTCCTCTCCCCTCCCTCTCCTCTCCCCCCCTCTCCCCTCCCCCTCTCTCCCTCCCCCCTCTCCTCTCCCCCCCCTCCTCCTCTCCCCTCCCCCCCTCCTCCTCTCCCCCCCTCCTCTCCTCTCCCCCCCTCCTCTCCCCTCCCCCCCTCTCCTCTTCCCTCCCCCCCTCTCTGGCCATCCCGATTCGGGTCACTGTGGCCTTATTTATCCTCAACATCTGCACATCGGTTAAGGAGCGGTCACACACTCCACTGGTGGCTATCAGTGCCCAGTTCCTTCCCAAACTACACTAGAAATTGTCACAAAAAACATAAATGTGTATTACATTTTTTGCACATTGTGTATGTTTCGTCATTTTTAATTAAAGTGTGAACCTTTCAAGAACAAATCGAGACACGCAACTAAGACTACACAATATCGTCTGTACAGAAATCACCATGATGTGAACATTTGGGGAGAAAATTAAGCAAATGGTAATATGTGAAAATATGATATGACAGCAGGATTGTTATGCTCACACCATGAATTAAAAACTGATGAACTTGAATTTGTGAATTTTTTATGTTGAAATGTCTCAAAGCACATTCAAAAAAGATCTATGTGCTCACCCAGCACTCACATTAAAGTCCAAACTCTTATTAGTGGTCTAATGAACCACTTTCACCTTCTCCAATATTGCTCAGGTTCAATGAATCATAGTTAGTCTTTGGTGGATATAAAACATGTTTTAACCCCGATATTCAAAAAATTTTGGGGGGTCGGCCGGGTGTCTGACACGTGCGGATACCAATCACCATACTTAAGAGCATTCAAACCAAGCTGAGATTTCCATGCGTCCCACCCACCATGGAAATCCCGGAGATAGTTTGTTGGAATGGAATGCAGACTCTCTCCCTGGAGGGACACATCCTGCTTACCTAATTCCGGAAAGTATTAGGCACAGGTTGGCAAGAGTCAAGGCTTGGGGACCACAAAGTGTGTGTTGGGGTAATTGCTGGAGTCTAACCAGTTAAAACCACACAGCTTGCCATTGTTATTGCTGTCTGGCAAACTTTCCCACTGCTTGTCTTGCTTGGACCACCCTACCAGTTAGGGCTTTGGCTTGCAGGGTTACCAGGAGCTGAGGGAGATGACTCCCTGTCCCAGTGACTGGTCCTTCCAGGTCCTGCCAATGAGCCAGTTAATGTAAGCAGTTAATGAAGTCTATTATTTTTCCCTAGCAAAAAAGCAAAACTGAAACACTACAGAAGAAATTTGTAAAGTCAAAACAAGTTAAAATAAAGACTACAATTCCAAAATTCAGTCTTTGTATTTTTCTTTCTGGTCTGCCTCTCTTTGAACACACATCTACACTAAATACTTTAATTACTTTAAATTTTAAAATTTTAAAAGCCAGAGATGCTGAAGGTCCCACCCTTTCCGCTGACCTTTCATTGGAGCCTGATTCAATTTCCTGAAGCAGCCTCTGCCTGAATGGATAATGTCACGACAATCTTAAAGCAAACTTGTGTCCTGTAGTTTAACTGACTGAAGAGCGCCAAATAGAAGGGTTTACATTTGATGTATAGAGGAGACGAAAATTGGTATTTACGAATAGGGTAAGGAATTATTGGGAGCGGAGGGAGAACAGAGAAAGCCAGGGCGCCTTGTGACCGTCACCTCCTGGCATTGCGGGCAGGGCAGGGCAGGGCTGCTGGGCAGCGCAGGGCTGGGAAGGGCAGGGCTGCTGGGCAGCGCAGGGCTGGGCAGGACAGGGCTGCTGGACAGCGCAGGGCTGGGCAGGGCAGGCTGGGAGGTTCGCGGGGTCACGTATGTACAATCCCTGGATTTGAGGGACTGCCATAACATAGTGGGAAACGATGCATGAATTAAACTCGCAAATGGAACGCCTTGCCATGATAACAGGGGTATTCTATGCTGCTCTCTAGGCTCCACGTTTTGTTTTTTCACGGGGATGAGATACCAAAAAAAACAGGACAGTGAGCTCACCTCATATTGTCTTAGTTTGCACAAACTCCCTGATCCTTTCATTGCTCATGGCGTTAGATAATACATTCGATCCGTGGCTATTTTTTCACATGAAGGGCGGAGCGTTTGTTGTAATTATTTTATTTGCAGCTTCAGTCCTCTCGTAATTTTATTTGAGGAACACAGCAGGGTTGCAGGGATGTCACTCTAAATAAAATAAATGATTACTATTCAGAACAAAAGAATACTGCATACTGGGAATCATTACAAAGGCAGCAATCACATTACAAGCGTCAACTGAATCCAAGCAAGATTCTTGCCTTGCAAGTTACGAGCATGTCTATTTACCAAGGCCCTTGGCATGAGGGCTTGGATTGAGCAGCTGATTGAGTAGCTACACTTGCAATCAAAGGAGCAGACACACAGTCAGACATTTAATTTTTATGTAGTGATCTGGGAGGACTCCTTTTGGGAGTAAGCCTGGTGCCTGGCATTGGACTTTGAGAACATCAAAGTGGATGGCAGGTCACAAGCTGCCCTGTAAAGGTCTACCCACCACAATGAAGGCAGATGGCCGCCAGATAGCTGATGGGGAAACTCTGAGGCTTGGGGCGACAGTTGCTGGAAGGCGTTACCTGGAGACTGAGTTTGTGAACACACGTTCGTACATCCAGCACCTGGTCTCCATCTTGATTGGCTGCAGAGAGGCCAACAGCTGCCGCTTAAACTCCTCATCTCCAATTGGTGGAACCATCACTCAATGAAAAGGGATTTGTGCCCGAGCTGTGGACAGGAAGATGGCGGCAATGCTCAGATGCATTTCATGCTCGCATAGACTTCCTTGTATTTACCACCTAGTGAGGGCTCAAACCCATGCTTCTTGGATATCGAATGACCACTAGTGACTATCCTCCTTGGAGGGGTGGGATGTAAGCGGGGTGACAATGGAATGCCTGGCAATGGGATGTTGGAATCGAGCCAGCCCTCTGCGGTGGTCTCAGTAGTCCAGCCTGAGCCAGGCTGATCCACAGTATTCCGGGGAACTGCTGATGACAGCATAGGGAGCCTGGCTCATTGGCAGGATCTGGAAGGGCAGACCAGTCGGGCAGGGAGTCATCCCACTCAGCTCCTGTTATCCCTGCAAGACAAAGCTTTAATGGATGGGGTGACCCCAGGTGGACAAGCACCGGGAAAGCTTGCCAGACAGCATTATCAATGGCAAGCTATGCAGTTTTAGATGGTTAGATTCCAGCAGTTACCCCAACGCATACTCTGGGGTCCCCAAGCCTTGGCTCTTGCCAATGTGTGCCTAATACTTTCTGGAATTAGAAAGCAGGATACGTCCCTCCAGGGAGATAATGGACACCCGACTGACCAAAAAAAAATCAGTACTAAAGTAGGTTGTGCATTTACCCACACAGTTACCAGGAAGTTGTTAAGCTCTTGATAATTCACTTCAAATTCGTAAATCAAAAGTATTAACTGGCAAACTAGCGAAGAACATAAAGACAGATTGCAAGAGTTTTTATAAATATATAAAGAGGAAGAGGCTGTCAAAGGTAAATGTGGGTCTGCTACAGGCAGAGATGGGGGAATTATAGTAGGGGACAAAGATACCGTAGAGTCATTAAACAAGTACTTTGCTACTGTCTTTACCTTAGAAGAAACTGAAAACCTACCAAGAATAGAGGGGAACCAAGAAGAAAATGTTAGCGAGCAACTTGGAGGAATTAATATTAGTAAATAAATTGTTTTAGGTAAATTATCAGGTCTTAAAACTGATAAATCTCCTGGACCTGATGGCCTACATCCTAGGGTTTTAAAAGAGGTGGCTACTGAGATAGTGGATGGATTATCTTTGATCTTCCAAAATTCTCTGGATTCTGGAACGGTTC